CTTTTATAGTTGAAAATTCACAAATAAAACATAAATTCGTCTCTAATTTTGCTGAAAATTGGTCTTTTCTGTTAATATTTTCGTTTTATATAGTGTAATTCATTGCCCTCTATAATTCCCTGTAGTTTTTTCATAAAATTTTCACAGTTTTATAACAAATTTTTAAATAATCCGTCTTTTGATTGTCGTAATTTCATAAAATTTTTAAAATTTTTCAAACCTGCTCTTATTTCGTTCTTTTTGCTTTAGTCGGGTCCGCCCCGCGTAGAAACTGCCAACTGCACAAAAATCTGCAAAATAAAACACAAGGAATTAGAGAAAATCGCTACTTATCAAAACCGAGGTATAGTGGTCGATCGCTAAAAATTCATAAAATTAACTACAACTCTGCTAATAACTTTCTTAAATATTGGTATTTTTCGTTCTAATTTTCTCTAATTAGTGTAATCAGTTGGCCCCCATATATCCCTGCAGTTTTCTTAGTAAATATTTACCGTTAAATAATTAAATTTCGTATTTTTTACTCTTTTATAGTTGAAAATTCACAAATAAAACATAAATTCGTCTCTAATTTTGCTGAAAATTGGTCTTTTCTGTTAATATTTTCGTTTTATATAGTGTAATTCATTGCCCTCTATAATTTCCTGTAGTTTTTTCATAAAATTTTCACAGTTTTATAACAAATTTTTAAATAATCCGTCTTTTGATTGTCGTAATTTCATAAAATTTTTAAAATTTTTCAAACCTGCTCTTATTTCGTTCTTTTTGCTTTAGTCGGGTCCGCCCCGCGTAGAAACTGCCAACTGCACAAAAATCTGCAAAATAAAACACAAGGAATTAGAGAAAATCGCTACTTATCAAAACCGAGGTATAGTGGTCGATCGCTAAAAATACATAAAATTAACTACAACTCTGCTAATAACTTTCTTAAATATTGGTATTTTTCGTTCTAATTTTCTCTAATTAGTGTAATCAGTTGGCCCCCATATATCCCTGCAGTTTTCTTAGTAAATATTTACCGTTAAATAATTAAATTTCGTATTTTTTACTCTTTTATAGTTGAAAATTCACAAATAAAACATAAATTCGTCTCTAATTTTGCTGAAAATTGGTCTTTTCTGTTAATATTTTCGTTTTATATAGTGTAATTCATTGCCCTCTATAATTCCCTGTAGTTTTTTCATAAAATTTTCACAGTTTTATAACAAATTTTTAAATAATCCGTCTTTTGATTGTCGTAATTTCATAAAATTTTTAAAATTTTTCAAACCTGCTCTTATTTCGTTCTTTTTGCTTTAGTCGGGTCCGCCCCGCGTAGAAACTGCCAACTGCACAAAAATCTGCAAAATAAAACACAAGGAATTAGAGAAAATCGCTACTTATCAAAACCGAGGTATAGTGGTCGATCGCTAAAAATTCATAAAATTAACTACAACTCTGCTAATAACTTTCTTAAATATTGGTATTTTTCGTTCTAATTTTCTCTAATTAGTGTAATCAGTTGGCCCCCATATATCCCTGCAGTTTTCTTAGTAAATATTTACCGTTAAATAATTAAATTTCGTATTTTTTACTCTTTTATAGTTGAAAATTCACAAATAAAACATAAATTCGTCTCTAATTTTGCTGAAAATTGGTCTTTTCTGTTAATATTTTCGTTTTATATAGTGTAATTCATTGCCCTCTATAATTTCCTGTAGTTTTTTCATAAAATTTTCACAGTTTTATAACAAATTTTTAAATAATCCGTCTTTTGATTGTCGTAATTTCATAAAATTTTTAAAATTTTTCAAACCTGCTTTTATTTCGTTCTTTTTGCTTTAGTCAGGTCCGCCCCGCGTAGAAACTGCCAACTGCACTAAAATCTGCAAAATAAAACACAAGGAATTAGAGAAAATCGCTACTTATCAAAACCGAGGTATAGTGGTCGATCGCTAAAAATACATAAAATTAACTACAACTCTGCTAATAACTTTCTTAAATATTGGTATTTTTCGTTCTAATTTTCTCTAATTAGTGTAATCAGTTGGCCCCCATATATCCCTGCAGTTTTCTTAGTAAATATTTACCGTTAAATAATTAAATTTCGTATTTTTTACTCTTTTATAGTTGAAAATTCACAAATAAAACATAAATTCGTCTCTAATTTTGCTGAAAATTGGTCTTTTCTGTTAATATTTTCGTTTTATATAGTGTAATTCATTGCCCTCTATAATTCCCTGTAGTTTTTTCATAAAATTTTCACAGTTTTATAACAAATTTTTAAATAATCCGTCTTTTGATTGTCGTAATTTCATAAAATTTTTAAAATTTTTCAAACCTGCTCTTATTTCGTTCTTTTTGCTTTAGTCGGGTCCGCCCCGCGTAGAAACTGCCAACTGCACAAAAATCTGCAAAATAAAACACAAGGAATTAGAGAAAATCGCTACTTATCAAAACCGAGGTATAGTGGTCGATCGCTAAAAATTCATAAAATTAACTACAACTCTGCTAATAACTTTCTTAAATATTGGTATTTTTCGTTCTAATTTTCTCTAATTAGTGTAATCAGTTGGCCCCCATATATCCCTGCAGTTTTCTTAGTAAATATTTACCGTTAAATAATTAAATTTCGTATTTTTTACTCTTTTATAGTTGAAAATTCACAAATAAAACATAAATTCGTCTCTAATTTTGCTGAAAATTGGTCTTTTCTGTTAATATTTTCGTTTTATATAGTGTAATTCATTGCCCTCTATAATTTCCTGTAGTTTTTTCATAAAATTTTCACAGTTTTATAACAAATTTTTAAATAATCCGTCTTTTGATTGTCGTAATTTCATAAAATTTTTAAAATTTTTCAAACCTGCTTTTATTTCGTTCTTTTTGCTTTAGTCAGGTCCGCCCCGCGTAGAAACTGCCAACTGCACTAAAATCTGCAAAATAAAACACAAGGAATTAGAGAAAATCGCTACTTATCAAAACCGAGGTATAGTGGTCGATCGCTAAAAATACATAAAATTAACTACAACTCTGCTAATAACTTTCTTAAATATTGGTATTTTTCGTTCTAATTTTCTCTAATTAGTGTAATCAGTTGGCCCCCATATATCCCTGCAGTTTTCTTAGTAAATATTTACCGTTAAATAATTAAATTTCGTATTTTTTACTCTTTTATAGTTGAAAATTCACAAATAAAACATAAATTCGTCTCTAATTTTGCTGAAAATTGGTCTTTTCTGTTAATATTTTCGTTTTATATAGTGTAATTCATTGCCCTCTATAATTCCCTGTAGTTTTTTCATAAAATTTTCACAGTTTTATAACAAATTTTTAAATAATCCGTCTTTTGATTGTCGTAATTTCATAAAATTTTTAAAATTTTTCAAACCTGCTCTTATTTCGTTCTTTTTGCTTTAGTCGGGTCCGCCCCGCGTAGAAACTGCCAACTGCACAAAAATCTGCAAAATAAAACACAAGGAATTAGAGAAAATCGCTACTTATCAAAACCGAGGTATAGTGGTCGATCGCTAAAAATTCATAAAATTAACTACAACTCTGCTAATAACTTTCTTAAATATTGGTATTTTTCGTTCTAATTTTCTCTAATTAGTGTAATCAGTTGGCCCCCATATATCCCTGCAGTTTTCTTAGTAAATATTTACCGTTAAATAATTAAATTTCGTATTTTTTACTCTTTTATAGTTGAAAATTCACAAATAAAACATAAATTCGTCTCTAATTTTGCTGAAAATTGGTCTTTTCTGTTAATATTTTCGTTTTATATAGTGTAATTCATTGCCCTCTATAATTTCCTGTAGTTTTTTCATAAAATTTTCACAGTTTTATAACAAATTTTTAAATAATCCGTCTTTTGATTGTCGTAATTTCATAAAATTTTTAAAATTTTTCAAACCTGCTCTTATTTCGTTCTTTTTGCTTTAGTCGGGTCCGCCCCGCGTAGAAACTGCCAACTGCACAAAAATCTGCAAAATAAAACACAAGGAATTAGAGAAAATCGCTACTTATCAAAACCGAGGTATAGTGGTCGATCGCTAAAAATACATAAAATTAACTACAACTCTGCTAATAACTTTCTTAAATATTGGTATTTTTCGTTCTAATTTTCTCTAATTAGTGTAATCAGTTGGCCCCCATATATCCCTGCAGTTTTCTTAGTAAATATTTACCGTTAAATAATTAAATTTCGTATTTTTTACTCTTTTATAGTTGAAAATTCACAAATAAAACATAAATTCGTCTCTAATTTTGCTGAAAATTGGTCTTTTCTGTTAATATTTTCGTTTTATATAGTGTAATTCATTGCCCTCTATAATTCCCTGTAGTTTTTTCATAAAATTTTCACAGTTTTATAACAAATTTTTAAATAATCCGTCTTTTGATTGTCGTAATTTCATAAAATTTTTAAAATTTTTCAAACCTGCTCTTATTTCGTTCTTTTTGCTTTAGTCGGGTCCGCCCCGCGTAGAAACTGCCAACTGCACAAAAATCTGCAAAATAAAACACAAGGAATTAGAGAAAATCGCCCTCCCACCCTCCCGGTTTTCCTTACTTAGGTAGAGTTTGTTAATAGCACTATTATTTCATTTTATTTTTTATTTTAATTTAATAGTTCAGGACATAGTAAGTGTTTTTACTAAAATTACGACCATTTGTATTGTTACAAACCTATATTTGACATTTTATTTTCGTTATAACCATTATTTTATTATATATTTTAAAGTAGGAATATTAAGACATTAAGCATTTGTTGCTTTACCCACTATTATTATTTATATAGGAGTAATATTAAGAGATATAGTAAATGGTTTTTTAACCATCGACACTTTGTATTATTGCAAAGTTATTATTAGAAATTATTTTGACAATTTATCTTAACATATTTTTTATTTTAACATATTTTTTTTATTTTTTATATATTTTTTATTGTCGTCTTATTGGGCGCATAATATTGACTATTTTAACGTTATTTTTGACAAAGCCCTCTGAACTTAGTCAAAATGTTTAAAACGCCCCCACAAAATAAGTCTGCAGCTTCGACAGAGGACTCTAATAAGAGGACCGAAAAACCAGCCCCCATGACTGGAAAAGACAAAGGGTCAACATCTTCAGTAAGGAAAAGTGTCGGTGAACTAGAATCACGTCTTGGTGCTACTCCAAAAAATATTATAGTTGCATTGCCGACGAAACAAACTGCCAAACTTCCCCCTGCAAATGTAGGTGACGACAACCAAGTCGATAAGGAAATGACCAAGTACTCAAATAGAGCACAAGAGGCAAAAGCACACTTGGTTAGAATAAAATTATTACTTAATAGCTCACGCAACTTAAAGACAGAAATAAAAGACGGAATAATAGAAGCGGCAGACAAATTATATGGTATGACGAAAAATGTGGAACAAGGAAAAGGCAATATTATAGAAAAAGAAAAGCCAGGTAACGGAAGGAGCCATGAACTAGAGCACGAACTTATAAGGAAAATAGAAGAACATAGCAAACTCCTCGCGGAATGCAAGATAGAGACCAAACAGTTAAGTGAAGAAGTGAAAAGCCATAGGGAAGAGCTCACCACCTATGCAAGTGTTGCAGCAAATCGAACAAACAGGCAGTCCCTGGAGCCTATCGCGCCCCACTCCAGAAAGATCGCTCAAATGCACTCTATCATAGTTACGTCAGGTGATATAAAGGACACCAGTGGTGAAGTTCTTGAAAAGATAAGAGTGGCGGTGGATGCAAAAAAGAGCGGAATAAGGGTAGAGAAAGTGAGAAAGGCTAGAGACCAAAAGGTGATCGTGGGTTGTGGCACCAGGGAGGAAATGGAAAAGGTAGCGAACCGACTTAAAGCCAGTGATACGGGGCTCTCAGTCGAGGAGGCTAAAAACAAAGATCCACTGGTCATACTGAGGGACGTTCTACTGATCAATACCGACGAGGACATAATCGCGGCTATTAGAAACCAGAACAAGAACTTGCTGGAAACTCTGCATAGCGAGGAGGTAAGATTGGTGGTACGATACCGAAAAAAGACCAGGAACCCCCACACAAACCATGTGATCCTGCAGGTCTCGCCACAGGTATGGAAAAGACTGGTTGAGGTGGGCCGTGTGCATGTAGATCTGCAACGCGTGGTGGTGACCGACCAGTCACCTCTGGTACAATGCTCCAAGTGCCTAGCATATGGGCATGGGAAAAGGCATTGCAAGGAGGCAGAGGACATATGTTCCCATTGCGGTGGACCTCACTTGAAGAGCTCTTGTACTGCGTTTTTGGCCGGGGAAGTGCCCTCCTGTAGTAACTGCCACAAAGCGAAGATGGATCGCCAAGACCATAATGCTTTTGACAACGAGTGCCCAATACGCAAAAGATGGGATGCAATTGCTAGAACAAGTGTAGCATATTGCTAAAGTGGAGTCCGGAAATAGGGGCGCAGTGACAGGAAGTCAGTTCGTTGCAGAGGAAAGAAAAATTTTAGTGGCACAAGCAAACCTACAAAGGAAAGAGCTTGCAACGAGCGAATTAATGCTCGAAGCGAGCAAGAAGGGTATGAGCTTTGCCCTAATTCAAGAACCGTACGTGGGGAGGGTTGGATACCTGAGGGACTATCGGGGAGCACGTATATTCCAGAGCGCTAAGAGAGGAGAAGGAGTGGTGAAAGCGGCGATAGCCGTCTTTGATAATAACATTTATGTTACTCAGTGTCCGACCCTCACCACGAACAACATTGTGACGATTAAAATGCAAATGAACACACTCGAAATAGGACTGATTTCGCTGTACCTTGAACCGGATTCACCAATCGAACCTTACATCAACCAACTCAAAAAGATAGTAACAAAAATGGGGAAAACTGAAGTAATAATAGGAGGGGATACAAATGCATGGAGCCAATGGTGGGGAAGTGCGAAGGAAGATGGACGTGGAGAAGCGCTTGCAGGTGCTCTGAATGAACTCGGCTTACACGTACTAAACGAGGGAGATGTGCCAACATTCGACACAATTAGAGGCGGCAAAAGATTCAGTAGTCACGTCGACATTACAGCGTGCTCTGAAAATCTTTTAAAATTGGTGGATGACTGGAAGGTACACGAGGGCATAACAAGTTCGGACCACAACACAATTTTATTCAAAATTAAAAGTAAATATTTATCAGATGTAACAATAAAACGGACTACAAGGGTATATAATAGTAAAAAGGCAAAATGGAGTCAGTTTCGTAAGAAACTAACTCAATTATTGACCGACAAAAATATAACCAAAACAGAAATTGACAATATAAAACATAGTAAAAATTTGGAAAATCATATAGAAAAATATCTAGAAGTAATAAAAGAAGTATGCGAATCTACCATTCCAAAAAAGAAAAATCAAAATAAACTCACCTTACCGTGGTGGAATGATGAGCTTGTTTTACTAAAGAAGGACGTCACTACCAAAAAGCGCCGTATAAGATGTGCTGCTCCCGTACGTAAAGCCGACGTCGTCGCGGCGTACCTGGAAGCGAAAAGCATATATGAAAATGAAGCAAAAAAGGCTCAGGTAAAAAGTTGGAAGGAGTTCTGTGGTAGACAGGATAGGGAAGGGTTATGGGACGGGATATATCGGGTTATCGGCAGAACTACAAAAAGGCACGAAGATCTGCCTCTTTTCAAAGGCGGAAAAATACTCGATAACATCGAATCGGCAAAGATGTTGGCCGAGACCTTCTATCCTAGAGACCAAGTTGAGGCTGATAACGCAGAACACCAGCGTATCAGGGAACTAGCAGAAAAAGTCAATGAAGGGACACAAGATAATTCTTGTGACCCTCCATTTACAGTCGCAGAGCTAAAATACGCAACCAACAGCTTCAACCCGAAAAAGGCTCCGGGTGGAGACGGTTTCACGGCTGATATTTGCCAACATACTATTCTCCATAACCCGGAACTTTACCTGAGCCTAGCTAACAAGTGTTTGGAGCTAGGACACTTTCCCACAGTATGGAAAAAAGCGGTAGTAGTAGTTTTGAGAAAACCAGGGAAAGAAGACTATACGCACCCCAAAGCCTATAGACCGATAGGTTTGCTATCAGTTATGGGTAAAATCCTGGAGAAAATGACTATCAGAAGGATAAGGTGGCACATCCAACCTGGGGGGAGTACTCGCCAATACGGTTTCACGCCACAGAAAAGCACCGAAGATTCCCTCTATGACATGATGGAGTATATAAGAACACAAATACAAAATAAAAAAATAATTATCATGGTATCACTTGACATAGAGGGAGCCTTTGATGGTGCATGGTGGCCGGCCATCAGATACCGATTGGCTGAGGAAAAATGCCCTATTAATATAAGAAGGTTGATGGATAGTTATCTCCAGGATAGAAAAGTTAGCGTCAGGTACGCTGGTGTAGAGTACAACCAGGACGCTTCAAAGGGGTGCGTACAGGGTTCCATAGGAGGACCGGTACTATGGAATTTGCTTCTTGATCCTCTGCTCAAGGAGTTGGAAGCAAGAGGCGACCGGTGTCAGGCTTTCGCCGACGATATCGTCCTTCTGTTTGCGGGGGACACGGCACTTGAAATCCAGAGGCGTGCAAATGCCGCTCTCGAGCATGTTCGGAGGTGGGGAATTCGTAATAAACTGAACTTTGCGCCACACAAGACCAAGGCTATGTTAATTACTAATAAGTTAAAATACGATTCACCACGTCTGAGCATGGGCGGGATAGACATTGGCATGTCGGAGGAGATCAAAGTGCTTGGTCTCACCGTCGACAGGAAGCTCACATTTAAAAGCCACGTAAAAAATGTGTGCAGGAAGGCCACAGCTCTTTACACACAACTATCAAGAGCTGCCAAAATCAGTTGGGGCCTTCAACCCGAAATCATAAGGACGATATACGTGGCGGTTGCTGAACCGGTTGCCTTGTATGCAGCGAGTGCGTGGGCGCCAGCCGTCAGCAAGCTGGGAGTCCGAAGGCTTCTCAACACCGTGCAAAGAGGATTCGCTCAGAAAATTATAAAAGCATATCGTACCGTGTCTCTACACTCGGCGTTAGCGTTGGCGGGTCTGCTTCCTCTGGATCTAAGAATCCAGGAATCAGCATCCCTCTTTAGAGCAAAGAGAGGAAAGCTCCCGCCGATTCTAGAAGACCGGGAGGTGGAGACAAGGGCGAAATTTACCGAACTGCCCCACCCAGCATCTTATATAGACTTGGAATTCGTATGCCTGGTGGACGAAAACGATACGAGACTCAATAACACCCAGAGTCTCCGAATATTTACCGACGGGAGCAAAATAGAGGGAAAGGTCGGAGCAGCACTTTCCATTTGGAATAGTGCAGCCGAGATCCGAACTCTAAAGCTTAAACTGTCGGACTATTGTACCGTCTACCAGGCTGAATTGCTGGCCATATACAGGGCAACTGAGCGAATTCTCAACAGCGCTGAAGTAAGCTTTGGGGTTTACAGTGACTCTAGATCGGCACTTGAGACCATTGTGAACCCAGACTCCCAGCATCCATTAGCAGTAAAGACCCGCAAAAATATACACACCATCATTAAGCAACAAAAAAGTTTCCAACTTTTTTGGATAAAAGCCCATGCGGGTCTGGCAGGGAATGAACGTGCTGACGAATTGGCTAAACTCGCTGCTCTTAGGATAAAATGTAAACCGGACTACGACTTATGCCCGGTCTCCTACATAAAAAGTGTAATCCGTAAGGACACTATAGAAAAATGGAATAAAAGGTATGTAGAGGGTGAAACGGCTCTAATTACTAAAAAATTCTTTCCAAGTGTCGGAGACGCTTACAAAGTGATTAAGGAGACAGCACTGTCTCCAACAATGATCCAAGCGATGACCGGACATGGTGGGTTCTCCGAGTATCTGTACCGATTCCGATGCAAGGAGAACCCTTCATGCGTCTGTGAGCCAGGAGTTGAGGAGACAGTGCTGCACGTACTTTTTGAGTGTCCTAGGTTCGGCAAACAAAGGTACGATTTTGAGACGTCGAGCGGAGCAAGATTGGAAGAAAAGAAATTATATTTATTATTAGATAGTAAAATCACTCGAAGTAAGTTTGTTAAATTCTGCGAAGAAATTATTAATGGGGTCGTAAAAAATAACCGAAATTAAATTATATTTTTTAGTTTTATACAATTTTATACAATTTTATGCAAATTTATACAAATTTATACAATATTATATATTTTAAACAATTATGTAAATAATAATAAAAATAATTAAAAGGGGCAATAACAACTAAAAAATGTCAATTCAATATATTTATTATTTTAAATCAAATGTAATGTTAGTTATAGTAATGTTATAGGTATCAAATTGATGTTAATAATTTAGTGTCACCAAAATAAACTTTGGGCGAGAATTGCAAATGCAAGATGCCATTCGGTTCTTCCTTGTGAATATACCAAGTATATTCAGAGAGAACGAACTGATTATAACATAAAATGAATATGTGAGAATAATGTGGTGATTGATTATTTATTTATTTATTTTAATTTGAATGTATAAATTACAAAAAGGTACTTTCCAATTACAGATAGAAAATGACTCTGATCTCTGTCAGAGGGCTGCAGTAAAAAAAAAAAAAAAAAAAAAAAAAAAAAAAAAAAAAAAAAAAAAAAAAACCTAACCTAACCTAACCTAATCTAACCTAACCTAACCTAACCTAACCTAACCTAACCTAACCTAACCTAACCTAACCTAACCTAACCTAACCTAACCTAACCTAACCTTTTCTTTTTTTTTACATGGGGAAATGCCTACGCATACCCGCCTCGTGGGGGCAAGGACGGGTTATGTCGGACTCGCACCGACTAAAACCCCATGGTGTTCCACCCTCGTCGCATATTGGCAGGGCCACGGGAACGCTTTCGCACACTTCCGCGGCCCCACCTGCGCCGGCCACCCCATGACGGCCCCTCCTCGGGAGAGGACCACTCCTCCCCCATCTCCTTCTCCGGTAAGGCGCACCAGAACACATGGCGCGCCCTCCTCCTCGGCCTCCAATTTCATATGCGCAACAGACGCCCCCGTGTCCGATGCGCGAAGGCCATGGGGCCAGGAAAAACTAGCACTCAGAAGCACCAGCCTTCCCGACCCCAGCGGCGGATCTGGTCTATGGCTCCGCCGCCAACCAAGATTCGGCTGCGGAGGGTAGGGAGAGCGGCGCCTCGCAATACCGACACTCCTCTCCCCCCGCAGCCCCACCACCACCGCATCATTCAACGGTGCGGCCCCGTCTGAGTCGCGGAGGATAGGGCGAGTGGCGCATCGCCATACCAACACTCCTCTTCCTCCGCGACTCCACCTCGGCTGCAGCGGTAGAGGGTTGCGGACTCCCCTCTCACCACAGCCCCCCGACACACATCCGAAGTGGGCTTCCCAAGCCCACTCGGAGTGGCCACCTCGGGCCGGCCCTACACCTCGGGCCAGCCAAGGGGTTCCTCTTCGTTCACCGTGGTTGACCAAGCCACGGCTACTAAGCCCCCCCGCCACGACAAGGCGGGAACCCGTTCGGGGGGGAACCTAACCTAACCTAACCTAACCTAACCTAACCTTTTTTTTTTTTTTTTTTTTTTTTTTTTTTACATGGGGAAATGCCTACGCATACCCGCCTTGCGGGGGCAAGAACGGGTTATGTCGGACTCGCACCGACTAAAACCCCATGATGTTCCACCCTCGTCGCATATTGGCAGGGCCACGGGAACGCTTTCGCACACTTCCGCGGCCCCACCTGCGCTGGCCGCCCCATGGCGGTCCCTCCTCGGGAGAGGAACACTCCTCCCCCATCTCCCTCTCAGGTAAGGCGCACCAGAACACATGGCGCGCCCTCCTCCTCGGCCTCCAATTTCACATGCGCAACGGACTCCCCCGTGTCCGATGCGCGAAGGCCATGGGGCCAGGAAAAACTAGCACTCAGAAGCACCAGCCTTCCTGACCCCAGCGGCGGATCTGGTCTATGGCTCCGCCGCCAACCAAAATTCGGCTGCGGAGGGTAGGGAGAGCGGCGCCTCGCAATACCGACACTCCTCTCCCCCCGCAGCCCCACCACCACCGCATCAATTGACGGTGCGGCCCCGTCTGAGTCGCGGAGGATAGGGCGAGTGGCGCATCGCCATACCAACACTCCTCTTCCTCCGCGACTCCACCTCGGCTGCAGCGGTAGAGGGTGCGGACTCCCCTCTCACCGCAGCCCCCCGACACACATCCGAAGTGGGCTCGCCAAGCCCACCCGGAGCGGCCACCTCGGGCCGGCCCTACACCACGGGCCAGCCAAGGGGTTCCTCTTTGTTCACCGTGGGTGACCAAGCCACGGCTACTAAGCCCCCCCGCCACGACAAGGCGGGAACCCGTTCGGGGGGGAACCTAACCTAACCTAACCTAACCTAACCGTCCGGTGTCAATTGCCGTCCCGAACGCCACGTTTTTAAGTCGCTCCGCAGTTAAAAATTCCGAAAAATAGGTTTTTCGCATCCGATTTTGGTGTTCTATATACCAAAAGATGCGCGTTGACGAGCGGTTTAATATAGTGTAAACCGCATGAAAATCGGAGTTTTGGTGAAAAAGTTATTGTAAAAATAGTGATTTTTGAAAAAGTGAAAAACTTCAAAGTGCAACGCTGCGCGATTAAGCGCTTTTACCCCAACTTTTTAAAGTGTGGTTTAGAAGGCATCAGTAACCTCTATAAATGTGCAAAATTTTAGATTTTTCTGTGTGGTAGTTTTCGAGAAAAAAGCAAAAAAACAAGTGCCACGTGGGCACGTGTTTTGTGACGCAGTGTCGTGCGGCTTTTTTTGAAGTCGCATTCTGGTCGCAAACGCAGAGGGGAGCCTGGAGCAATTTTCGGATTTTTCAAAAGTTAAGTGGTTCAAGAGTTATTGAATTTTTAAATTTTTACAAAATTTCAAAATTAAATTTTTCAAAAACTAAAGTGAGGACCCCTAGTTTATATAGTTCGGCTTTAAAGCTATTAGTGGTCCCTATATAAGGGCAAAATTTTAGATTTTTATCAATTATACTTTCCGAGAAAATTGCAAAAAAACAAGTACCACGTGGGCACGTGTTCTGTGATGCAAAACCGTGCGGCTGCTTTTGAAGTCGTATTCTGTTAGTAGACGCGGAGAGAAGCCGGGAGCAGTTTTTGGAACTAATTTTAGTTAAGTGGCTAAAGAAATATTGAACCTTTTAATTTTAAAAATTTTTGTTAATTTAATTACTCAATAGGGAAAATGAAATTTTTAGTTTTTATAGCAAAATAGTATTAAGAGGATTGTATTTAATGTATATATAAAAATTTAGATTTTTCTGACAAGTAGTTTTTTAGTTGGGATTTTTTAAATTATTTAATTTTATATATGTTACCGTTAATTAAGTGTTAAAAAGTTTAAAAATATATAGACACAGAAAATATATAGAATATAACATCTGGAAATTTTTGTAGATTTTTTAAACAAAATTTGACTGAAAAATTCAAAATTTTTAAAAAATTTTTTACTATTTTGTTAAAAATTTATTGAAAAGGGGCTTTAAACGCCAAAGCATTTATTCAGTTATATTCCTGACACCGGGACCTTTCATAGGAGCCCAAACACGGGTGAAATCAGTTGAGAAACACCAAAATAAGCCTTAGTCGACTGGACCGGCGGCCATTTTAAAAAAGTTTTGAACTGAAATAACTTTGTTCCTAGAAGTCGTAGCGAGTTGCGGTTTTGGGCTTTAATATTGCCCCATTTATAGTTTCTGTTATAAACACGAAAATACGCTCTATAAAAATTGCGAAGGAAAGCCTCCTTTAAGACAAAAACATAAGGTCGGAAGAGTGCTTTTTGTGGCAGCCCAAACCGCGCGTCTCTGCGGCAAAAACTGACCAAGTTATTGACATTTTAAATTTTGGTCGCCATTTTGGACGCCATATTGAAAATTTTAAAACTGACATATCTCCGGAAGTCTTTGGCGGATTTCGATGCGGTTTTCGATACACTTGATTGCTTAAGCTCATTTATCGTACCATCAAATAATATTAGTGACTTGGCGGCCATTTTGGGTAGCCATTTTGTGAAATATTGTTATTGCTATATCTTTTGAAATACTGCATCGATTTTTGCTGGACTTTCGGAATAAGATAGTAAATATCTTTGACTTTCTGTCTGACAAATAAAACTACTCTACATAGAGACAATTGTGTGTATTGTATTTGTATATTTATGTGTATTTCCTCTTAGATAAGCAAGACTTGCTATTTCTTTCGTATAATAGTATAGAGGACAACCTTTTTAGGTAAAAAACGCAGAGGAACTCTACATAGAGTTAAAAAATTTATTTTCAAATTTTATTTTATTTTAGTTATTTTAAAATTGAGATACCTTAGACATTTGACCTTTGAATAACCGCAACCTCGTCATATTTTAAAACAATATATAACTTTAACCTAATTTTGGATAGGTATAGAATTTAATTTAAATTCAGACGTAGAGCCACCTTGTAGAGTGGTGTTATTATACAACGACGTAGAGTCGGGACTCTACAAATAGTTTATATTATAACATCTCTGCAAATTTTTAGTTCTTAAACAGTTTTATTAAATTTAAAAAGGAAATTTTTATTTTATTTTTACCCGAAAGTTAACATACTGTATAAATAAAGAATTTTGATGGAGTCTGTGACTCTAGATAGAGGTATATTTTTATACACTTTTATACATTTTATATATTTGTTTTGTTATATTTTTTCTCTGTTTTACATTTTAGTTGATATATTTATACATCCTTTATACACATTATACTATTGACGCTACACGGACATATACTCCCAAGATGTTTGGAATTAGAACACCAACTAAACCGACACAATCACCCTCTAAAACAGGAAGTGAAATTTCAAAAGTAAGACGCAGCATAGATGACTGGGAATCTAACATTGATTCAACCCCATCCATGACTACCACGACAATGCAGGCAGGTACTGCTAAAACAAAACCAACGGGATCAGTGCTACAAAACAGTAAAACCACGCAAAAAGTGTCTGTTGAAATACACACTCCGCCAAAGCAGCAGTATGAAAATAGAACAATGGAAGCAAAGGCCTGTTTAACAAAAGGCAAGCTTCATCTAAACGCCTCTCGGAATACGAAAACAGAGATAAAAAATGGCGTTGTAGAAGCACTGGATCGATTATATCAGCTTGTTAAAGAAGCTGAAATGGAGTTAAAGGCAAAAAAGGCAAAAGGAGAAAAGGAAAAGAGTGAAAAGCTAGAGTTGGAAACTGCTGCTACTGACTCTACCTTCTCAGTCATCTCACCTCACCACTCAGACCTAAAAACAAGGATTGAGGAGCACGCAAGATTGCTGCAAGAAACAAATAAAAAGATGGAAGAGTTGAAAGAATCGATGGAAAAGCAAAGAGAAACACTAGAGCGAGCGACAATGCCAACATACGCTAATGTAACTGCAGACAAAATCATTAAAACTCCCCCACAGCGTAGTACCCTACATTCCGTAGTAATAACATCAACAGATGAAACTGAAACGGGGGAAGAGGTGATGAACCGGGTCAGAAAGGCAGCTGATGCAAAAGAAGGGTGGATAAAGGTTGGAAGGGTAAGGAAAGCAAAGGATAGAAAAATCATTATGGGTTTCGAAACAAAAGAGGAAAGGAACAAAATGAAAAATCGGCTTGAAAAAGAAGGAGTAAATCTCACCGTCGAAGAGGTCAAAAACAGGGACCCACTTCTGATCCTCAGAAATGTACTTCTTGTAAACACAGACGAAGACGTAATCAAGGCTCTGAGGAATCAAAATCGCGGTGTTTTTCACGGTCTCGACGAAGGTGAGATCAGAATTGAAATAAAATATAGAAGAAAAACAAGAAATCCCCACACCAGCCACATTGTTCTTAGTGTCTCGCCTATCATCTGGCAAAGAGTTATAGAAATTGGGAGTATTCATATTGATTTACAACGTGTTAGAGCAGAAGACCAATCCCCACTGGTGCAATGCACACGCTGTTTAGGATATGGTCACGGTAAGAGGTTCTGTAAAGAACTATCAGACCTATGTAGCCACTGTGGTGGCCCCCACCTGAGATCCGAGTGTGGTGACTGGCTCGCTGGTGAACCACCCAAATGCCGAAACTGCTCAAAGGCAAAATTGTTCCAGACAGAACATAATGCCTTTAGCACAAACTGCGCAACGCGCCGAAAGTGGGATGAATTGGCCCGGTCAACTATAGCATATTGCTAAAGGTGCACAAGTTGAACAAGCCCACTATAAAATTATCCAAGCAAACCTCCAGCGCAAAAAATTAGCAACCCATGAACTTTTTATTGAAGCTGAGAAACGTCGAGCTGATATAGCACTACTTCAAGAACCATACGTAGGTGGTGCTAACACGATGAAAGGTCAAAGAGGCGTGAGGGTTTTTCAAAACTCTAGCCCAGGAGAAGGGACTGTTAAGGCAGCGGTAGCCGTCTTCAACGTTGATTTTAACATAAAACAGTACCCAAAACTCACCACAAACAACATCATTGTGGTGGGAATTCAAACTAGAGCTTGGGAAATAACACTCGTCTCTTATTACTTCGAGCCAGATCAGCCCATAGAACCGTATATTGATCACCTTAAAAAGATAGAGCAAGAAATTGGAAGTACAAAGTGGATTGCTGGAGGTGACGCCAATTCAAAAAGCACATGGTGGGGAAGCCCGATCGTTGACCATAGAGGAGAAGAAATCGCAGGAGCTTTCGAGGAGCTGGGTCTGAACATACTGAATAGAGGGGACATTCCGACCTTCGATACCATCCGAGGAGGAAAACGATATTCCAGCTACGTCGACATAACAGCCTGCTCGACCGACATCCTGGACTTGGTAGATGACTGGACAGTGGACGAGGGTCTTACGAGCTCGGACCACAACGGCATTATTTTTAATATTCGGCTACAAAAATCAAAAGGTCTAAGAGTAAACAGAACTACTAGACTGTTTAATACAAAGAAGGCAAATTGGCCTAAGTTTCATGAGAAACTTAACCAATTGCTGTCAGAAAATCAATTTAACAAATCGGAAATAGAAAATATTGAAACCATTGAACAAATAGACATAGCAACAGATAAATTAACAATATCCATAACAGACACTTGCAAGCAAACAATGCCAACCAAAAAAGCTACAGAAGAACTTACCTTGCCGTGGTGGTCCGATAAGCTCAACAAGATGAAAAAAGAAGTCACTACCATGAAACGAAGGATCAAATGTGCTGCCCTGGTCCGTAGACAGAAGGTCGTAGAAGAGTACCTGGAACAAAAAGAGAGGTATGAGTCAGAAGCTATTAAAGCCCAGATCGAGAGCTGGAAATACTTTTGCTGCAAGCAGGATAAGGAGGGGGTCTGGGAAGGTATCTATAGGGTAATTGGGAGAACAACGCGCAGGGACGAGGACCAGCCACTGGAAATCAATAAGGTAGTGTTAGACGCAAAAGGTTCCGTGAAGTTATTGGCGGAAACGTTCTTTCCGGAGGACTTAACAGACAGCGAAAACACTTACCATCGCCACGTAAGAATAAAAGCTGACAAAGTGAACTCTGCTGAGCAAGATGACCTGTGTGATCCCCTGTTCACAATGTTAGAATTGAAACAGGCGTATCGATCCTTCAACCCGAAAAAGGCCCCAGGAGCGGACGGTTTCACAGCTGATATATGTCTACACGCTATAGAAAGCAACCCCGAGTTATTCTTGACCTTCCTTAATAAATGTTTAACTCTACAACACTTCCCGAAAACCTGGAAAATCGCGACAGTCATAGTGCTTAAAAAACCAGGGAAAGTAGATTACACCATGCCGAAAGCGTATAGGCCCATTGGACTACTACCTATACTAGGAAAGATCTTTGAGAAAATGCTGGTGAACCGCCTCAAATTTCACCTTTTGCCAAGGATAAGTACTCGCCAGTACGGGTTCATGCCACAGAGAAGCACCGAAGACGCCCTCTATGTACTAATGCAGTTCATTCACATGAAGCTGAATCAAAAGAAAATTATAGCGCTAGTATCATTGGACATCGAGGGAGCTTTTGATAGCGCCTGGTGGCCAGCCATACGAGTCCGACTGGCTGAGGAAAGGTGTCCGCTTAACTTGAGGAGGGTCATAGATAGTTATCTCAAAGACAGGAAAGTCGTAGTCAGGTACGCTGGAGAGGAATATGCTAAAGGTACAAGCAGAGGTTGTGTCCAGGGATCCATTGGAGGCCCAATCCTATGGAATCTTCTGCTAGACCCTCTCTTGAAAAGTCTCGAATGCAGGGGAGATTATTGTCAGGCGTTCGCGGACGACGTCGTATTAGTCTTCGACGGCGACACAGCACACGAAGTGGAGCGACGTGCCAATGCCACTCTAGAACATGTCTGTGCGTGGGGTGTTGAAAATAAATTGAAGTTTGCGCCACACAAGACGAACGCGATGATAATAACAAGAAAACTGAAACACGATGTACCACGCCTCAACATGGGAGGTACTGCAATTGGCATGTCAAAAGAAATAAAGCTACTTGGGTTTACAATTGACGAAAAGCTTACTTTTAACACCCATGTATCGAATGTGTGTAAGAAGGCAATCGGCATCTACAAACAACTATGCAAAGCGGCGAAGGTTAGTTGGGGACTCCATCCGGAAGTGATAAGAGTGATATATCTCGCGACCGTAGAGCCTATTATACTTTACGCTGCTAGCGTTTGGGCACAGGCTGCAAAAAAGCTGGGGATAATAAAACAACTCGCCGTAGTCCAGCGCGGTATCGCGCAAAAACTATGCAAAGCCTACCGAACGGTCTCTCTGAATTCGGCGCTAGTACTGGCTGGAATACTCCCCCTGGACCTCCGAGTCCGTGAGGCTGCTTTATTATATGAAGCCAAGAGGGGGCTGCCACAGCCAGTGTTGGCGGGAAGAGAGGTCGAGAGAATGGCTTCAGCTTTTGAGGGCCCACACCCTGCTGAGCGCCTGGAATTAGGAATTATTTGTTTGGTAAACGAGGAGCAGGTGAACAAACACAGCGAAATAAACGTCCACATATTTACTGACGGGAGCAAGATTGAGGGCAAGGTTGGCGCCGCCCTTTCCGAATGGAAAAACAAGACCGAAAATAAAGCCCTCAAACTTGCTCTACCAACATACTGCACAGTTTACCAAGCCGAGCTCCTGGCCATTTGCAGGGCGACTGGACAAATCCTCAAGCACAGAGCGTCCTCCTTTGGAATTTACAGCGACTCAATGGCGGCCCTTCAAACGATCATAAATCCAAACTGCCTTCACCCGTTAGCCGTGGAATGTAGAGATAATTTAAGAGCAATATCTCTCCAAAGCAAAGTAGTAACTTTGTTTTGGATTAAAGCCCACGCGGGCTTAGAGGGGAATGAACGAGCAGACAGACTAGCAAAAGAGGCCGCAAAAAATTCCAAAGTGAGACCGGATTACGATCTTTGCCCGGTTTCATTCGTCAAGCGAAGCATCCGTATGGCAACGCTAGACAAATGGAACCAAAGATACCAGACTGGCGAAACAGGAAAGATCACGAAGCTGTTTTTCCCAGACGCGAAAGTGGCCTACCGAATAATAAGAAAATTTGAAGCAAGCAGCGAGACTACTCAAGTCATGACAGGGCATGGTGGATTTTCTGAATACTTACACCGCTTTAAGTGTAAAGAGAATCCATCGTGCATTTGCGACCGCGATGCTGAAGAAACTGTGCCACACATTTTGCTGGATTGTCCCGCATACGCCGCAGAGCGCCTGAAAATAGAAAACGAAATTGAATTAAAATTAATTAAGGAGAATATAAATATCATAATGATGAGTAAATACAGAGAAAAATTTATGAGTTATTGTTTGAAAATTGCAAAAAGAGTAATAAATAGGAATAAAACTGTTTAAGTAAGGATGCTGCCATAATATATTGTATTATATTACAGATCAGCATTACAAAATAAATTGAAATATGTATTAGAAATAATCAAATAGAACATAAGCAATAACTAACAAATAGTATAAGTCATATAAGTATTATATAAGTTGTCACTACCCCCAGCATTAAATATTGGAAATTGTTGTTGCATGCACTAGACTAAGAGTAGTAGGACTCCCGAACGAAAACCCGGAGTCCTCTACACCTTTTATAACATCAAGGACTAAATAAATAAAAGAACATGAATTCAAAGTCCGTGTCGAGCTGACAATGTCTCTGACCCCCATGTCAGAGGGAAGCAGCAAAGCATACAAAAAAAAAAAAAAAAAAACCTAACCTAACCTTTTTTTTTTTTTTTTTTTTTTCGTGGGGAAATCCTCATGGATACCTCCGGCTGCGGGGGCAACCGGAAGGTTATGCCGGACTCCTACCGGCTAAAACCCCACGGTGCCTCCTCGCACGTGCGCGCGGGGCCGCGGGAATCCAAATTCTTCCGCAGCCCCACACTAGTGCTGGCCCGGTCTGTCCGGGCCTCTTCTCCTGTACGGGGTAGCGAGGTGTTCAGCTACCACCCTCCACAGCCTCCAACTCCACCTGCGTATCGGACCCCCCCGAGTCCGATACGTGGAGGCCATGGGGCCAGGAAAATCGAGCGCTTATTAGCGCCCGCTTTCCCGACCCCAGCGGCGGATCTGGTCTATGGCTCCACCGCCAACCAAGATTCGGCTGCGGAGGGTAGGGAGAGCGGCGCCTCGCAATACCGACACTCTTCTCCCCCCGCAGCCCCACCACCACCGCATCAATTAACGGTGCGGCCCCGTCTGAGTCGCGGAGGATAGGGCGAGTGGCGCATCGCCATACCAACACTCCTCTTCCTCCGCGACTCCACCTCGCTGCAGCGGTAGAGGGTGCGGACTCCCCTCTCACTGCAGCCCACCAACACACATCCGAAGTGGGCTTCCCCAGCCCACTCGGAGTGGCCACCTCGGGCCGGCCCTACACCTCGGGCCAGCCAAGGGGTTCCTCTTCGTTCACCGCGGGCGACCAAGCCACGGCTACTAAGCCCCCCCGCCACGACAAGGCGGGAACCCGTTCGGGGGGGGAACCTAACCTAACCTAACCTAACCCACCTTATAACTTTGCATTAAAACATTGTAAAAACTCCCTGGTTGTCCTGAAATATTTAATTAGTCTAGTTTTATTAGTTTACAGTGTTTTCAAGCCATTTCGGGCGATATTTCTAATTTAAATTAAAAAAAAAAAATATTGTTTTTGAGAAACGTAATATATCAAAATTTTTCGTCTATATTAAAATCTTACAAATATCTTCCGCTTTTGCTCCTGTCTGGTCCACCTTGCTCCAAAACCGCCGTATCAGCCAAAATCTGCAACAATAAACGTAGAAAATAGCAAAATTTAAGAAAGTTAAATACCGAGAATGGCCCATAGACCCTCAGCTGGAACTGTTGATATGCGTAAGCGAGCGCTGTTACAAAGCACATCAGCAAGCGAAGATAAGTCAGATAATATTCAAAGCGGAACACACAATACTCCAGTTAACTTTTCGACAATGCCTTTAGCGACTTTAACGGCTGCAGCAAACAAGCTTTTGCAAGATACAAAAGCGCAACTAGAACAGTCAGGAAACCTTAAAACATCTATTAAAGAAAAGGTTTTATTCGGAATAACTGGTATGTATGAGATAATATTACGCATGAGTGAATCCCGCCAGACGTTGCAACTCCAGCTTGAAAAAGCTAAACTAAGTGCAAAGGAGGAACTGCTAAGAAAGGAAAAAGAGCATGTTGATAAGTTGGAGGGTCTTTTGGAAACGTCCAGTGGAGCAGATGCAAAGGGAGCGGCCAGGGACATTTTAAAAGAGTTAGCATCCATTAGGCAAATTTTGACACAGGACGTTGCTAATAAAATTAGCGGAATGCAAATATGTGTAAATGACGGACAAGCGACTAGAGAAATTTTAGCGCAAATAATAAAAAATGGACTGGCTATTGATGAATCGAGCATCGAGCTGAAAAAATTAGGACATCAAATGGAACACATCCAAAATGACTTAAACGTGAAAAAAGAAACTGGCAATTATACATATGCCGACATTGTGGCCCGTCGGTCTCAAACAACGACTTATGCGTCAATGCACTCAATCATTGTTTCATCAAAAAGTGATAATGACACCAGCCAAGTAGTCATTAACAAAATAAGGGAGGCAGTGGACGCAAAATCTTCCGGTATCCGTGTAGACAGAGTAAGGAAAGCGAAAGAACAGAAAGTAATCTTAAGCTGTGAGTCAAAAGAAGATCTTAAAAAGTTAAGAGAAAAAATTGAAAATTCAGAACAAACATTGAATATAGAAGAAACGAAGAACAAAGATCCGCTTATAATATTAAAAGATGTATTGACGTATAATTCAGACGAGGATGTCATTAAAGCAATCGAAAATCAAAACAAACATGTCATCGAAAACTTAGAGCCAGAAGAACTTCGTATATCAGTTAGGTACAGGAAAAAAGCACGAAACCCACATGAGAATCACATAGTCCTACAGGTCTCTCCTAAAGTTTGGCAACGCATGACAAAAATAGGTCGTATCCAAATCGATCTACAAAGGGTACGAGTTCAGGATCAATCACCGCTGGTGCAGTGTTCAAAATGTCTTGGATACGGTCACGGAAGCAAACTGTGTAAGGAGTCTATTGCACTGTGTAGCCACTGTTCTGGACCGCATTTAAGAGCGGACTGCCCAGGATGGCTTTCAGGAGATGTACCCACGTGCCGAAACTGTCACCTGGCCAAAAACGAAAAAACCGACCATAACAGCTTCGATGACAGATGTCCTATACGTAAAAAGTGGGACGCAATTGCAAGATCTAGCGTAGCCTACTGTTAAGACGAGAAAGTTAACTCCAAATTGACGCAATCCCTGCACGGAAATCCTAGTAAGCGGGAATATAAATTTATACAAATAAACCTACAACGAATAAAGCTAGCTACACAAGAGGTATTTATTGAAGCACTTAGTAAAAACATCCAGATAGCCTTAGTACAAGAACCTTACACAGCTGCTACAGGAGAAGTACAGCAACCGCCAGGTAGTAGAATAGTACAATGCCGAAGAAAAGAAAAGCCGAACAAAGCAGCTATATTTGTTTTCGATTCGAATATTAAAATAATAGAAGACCCCACTTTGGTTACGGAAAACATTGTAGTTGCCATTTTACAAACTGATAAGTGGACAATAGGGGCAATATCAATATATTTTGAAGATCATTTACCTATAGAACCATATCTTAAACAAATTGAAAAAATAGTCAACAATCTAACAGCTAAATATATATTAATTGGAGGAGATGTTAACGCGTGGAATACGTGGTGGGGAAGCACTTCAATAGATCATCGAGGGGTGGCATTACAGGAGGCATTGGATGAAATGGGATTACATATACTAAATGTAGGAACAGAGCCTACCTTTGATACAATTAGAGGGGGCAAATTATACACAAGTCATGTAGACATAACAGTATGTAATGAAAGCTTACTTAAGCATATTCAAGATTGGAGGGTAGATAAGGATTTAATAAGTTCAGATCATAATGCTATAGTTTTTTCCATCAATTTAGACAAACCGCAAGAAAAAAGAAGAACTTTAACAACCAGAATTTATAACACTAAAAAAGCTAATTGGACAGATTTTAAAATAATATTTAAAAATTATCTAGAAGAAAATAGAATTGAGGCAGTTCAAGTTGGCAAAATTGTATCAAAGGAGGCTTTGGAAAGCATTATAGCCACATATATTGAGGGTATAAATAAAGCATGTGAAAAAAGTATTCCTAAACTAAAAATAAAAGAAAGAACATCCTTACCATGGTGGAGTAGAGAACTGGAAGAACTGAAGAAGGCGATGATAACGAAACGTAGAAGGATCCGATGCGCTGCATGGCATAGAAGAGAACACGTAGTACAGCAATACCTGGAAGCAAAAATGAAATATGAAAAAGAGGCAATTAGTGCACAAACAAATAGTTGGAAGGAGTACTGTACAAATCAGGATAGGGAAAGTTTCTGGGATAAAATTTATAGAGTGATTAGAAAAACAACAAAAAGGCAACAAGATCAGCTATTAGTGAATGATGGAAAGGCTTTATGTCCTGACGAATCAGCGGCTTGGTTAGCAGATAGTTTTTTCCCAGTAGATGACTGTACTACCGACAATGCTGAACAAAAGGAAACGAGAGAAAAAGCTGAAAAAATACACCAATACCTACCAAATGACACCCAGGATCCACCATTTACTGAAGCTGAACTAAGAAACGTTATGGGAAGTTTTAGCATGAAGAAGGCACCTGGACCTGATGGCTTCACAATGGATATTTGTACTGCAGCAATAGGAACAAATGAAGAACTGTTTTTGTCAACTGTCAACAAATGTTTGCAGCTCACTCACTACCCAACACCATGGAAGGCAGCCGTTGTGATAGTTCTCAAAAAACCCGGTAAAAACGACTATACCCACCCCAAGGCCTATATACCTATTGGATTACTTTCAATATTAGGTAAAATATTAGAAAAACTGATACTTAAGAGAATACGATGGCACATTTTGCTGAAAAGTAATCCAAGACAATATGGGTTTGTACCTCAGCGAAGTACGGAAGACTCCCTGTATGATCTGCTACAGCACATAAGAGTAAATCTCAAAGACAAAAAGATAAACTTAATAATATCTCTAGACATACAGGGAGCTTTCGACAATGCTTGGTGGCCTGCCATAAAATGCCAGCTATTAGAGAAAAAGTGTCCCCAAAACCTCCGCGAAATCGTTAACAGTTATTTCGAAAACCGCAAAATAAAATTACGATACGCAGACAAAGAAATCGATAAATCTACATCAAAAGGATGCGTGCAGGGATCAATTGCAGGGCCCACGTTTTGGAACCTGCTACTGGACCCT